GGGGTTTGGGGGAGAAATTTGGGAATTTTTGGGGGGGATTGGGGCATTTTGAAGGGAATTTGGGGGAAATTTTTGGAGGAAATTTTGGGAACCTTTCCCACCCCAAATTTCTGTTCCTCCCGCAGTTCCCCTCCCCAAGGGGGCGGAGCCAAAGGCGAAGGGGGTGTGGTCACTGCTGGAGGGGGCGGAGCCAAAGCCAAAGAAGGCGTGGTCATTCCTGGAGGGGGTGGAGCCAGAGGGGGCGTGGTCACTGCCGAAGGGGGCGGAGCTTCCCGAATGGTTCCGCCCCCTGCTGGAGGAGCTGGCCCAGGGATTGGAGCAACAAATGCCGAGTGAGAGCCCCAAAAATGCCCCAAAATCACCCCAAAAATCCCCAAAAATCATCCCAAAAATGCCCCTAAAAATCCCCAAAAATCATCTCAAAAATCCCCAAAAATCACCCCAAAAATGCCCCTAAAAATCCCCAAAAATCATCTCAAAAATCCCCCCAAAATCACCCCAAAAGTGCCCAAAAATCCCTCAAATCAACCCAAAATCACCCCAACAATCAGCCCAAAAATGCCCAAAAATCAACCCAAAATCAAACCCAAAAATCAGCCCAAAAATGCCCCAAAATCTCCCCAAAATCAAACCCAAAAATTAGCCCAAAAATGTCCCAAAAATCCCTCAAATCAACCCAAAATCACCCCTAAAATCAGCCCAAAAATGCCCAAAAATCACCCCAAGAGCCCCAAACTTTTCCAAGATCCCCAAATTTCCCCCGGAATTCCCCAATTCCCCCAGGAATTCCCCAAATTCCCCCCAGAATTCCCCAAATTCTCCCAGAATTCCCAAATTTCTCCCAGAATTCCCCTGACCTCCCCCCGTTCCCGCAGCGCTGCTGACCCCGCCCTGTGCCAGCCTCTGCCTGCAGGGGGCGCTCTCTGCCCTGCACCGCAGCCAATCCCCTTCCTGCTCCCGCTTCTGCCGCGCCCTCATTGGCTGCCTCGGCCAGGACGGCCCCGCCCACGGCCGCAGGTGAGTGCTGATTGGCTGCTGGCCCCGCTGCTCTCTGCTGATTGGCTGGGAGGGGGTGGGGTTCCTCGTGCTGTTTTCTGATTGGATGGGGAATCCCAGACTCTCTTTCCTGATTGGCTGCTGATCGCAAGCTCCTTCCCTCATTGGCCACGCCCCTTGCTGTGATTGGCTGCCTATTCTCCTTATTTGGGTGGAGCCCCACATCCTGATCCGTGATTGGTTGGGGCTCACCAACCCTTTTCCCTGATTGGCCTTGCCATGTGAGTCCTATGCTCTGATTGGTTGCTGCTCCTGATCCCCTTTCCCTGATTGGCCGTGCCCTGTGAGTCTTGTGCTCTGATTGGTCGCTGCTCCTGATCCCCTTTCCCAAATTGGCTGCTGTTCTGCATCTCTTTTTCTGATTGGTCATATTCCCTAGTCCCTTCTCTCTGATTGGCCGCCCCCTTTTCTTTCCTGTCTCTGATTGGTCCAGCCCTCTGCTGACGTCACTGCAGGACCCGGAGCGGTCCCGCCTCCTGGAGGCGGCCATGACAGTCCTGGACCCCGCGGGGCTCCGGGAGCTCTTCCGGGATCACCTGAAAGGTCACGTGAGGGGCGTGGCCTCGCACCGAGTGGCCAATCACGGCCTGCAGCGCCTCCTGGGCCACGCCCCCGAGGACGTGGTAGGCGGGGCTTTGGGGGGCGGAGCCTAACTATGGCCTGGAGGGGAGGGGCGTAAAGGGAGAATCTCATTGGTTGGAAGAGTAGTGGGTGGGGTTTATGACGGTTGTGTGGGCGTGGCTTGGATATGCTAATGAGGAGTGGGCGGGTCTTAACGGTAAAATCTCATTGGTTGAGAGGGTGGTGGGAGGAGCTTAAAAGCTGGAAGCCGGAAGGGGTGGGGCTTAAAGTATTAGAATGGGAGGTGCTTGGTGATTGGCTGGGTGTGGGTTGAGGGGCGTGGCTAAGCCCAGATGGGCGTGGCTAAGCTCAGGTGGGCGTGACTAAGCTCAGGTGGGCGTGGCTAAGCTCAGGTGGGCGTGCCCCGCCCCCGCAGGTGTCGGAGGTGCTGTCGGAGCTGGGCCCTGCCCTGGAGGAGCCGCTGGCCCGGGGCCACCCTGGGGTGGTCATCGCCCTCCTGGGGGCGGCCCAGAGACACCCCCGGCTGCAGGAGGACACCCTGCGCTACCTGTTCCAGGTGGGACACGCCCCTTCCCCTAAACCACGCCCCTTTTCCTGCTAAACCACGCCCCTTCTCCTGTTTAGCCACTCCTCTTTCCTGTTCGGCCACGCCCCTTTTCGTGCTAAGCCACGCCCAGTCTGTGCTGAACCATAAACGCCCCGCCCTTTTTAAGCCCCGCCCCCTTTCTCAAACCCAACCCCCTCTCAGGCCTCACCTGTTTTAAGCTCCTCCCCTTTCCCCCAAACCCCGCCCCTTTCGGCCACACCCACTTTAAGCCCCACTCCAGTTCAGACCACACCCATTTAAGCCCCACCCCTTTCAAAATCCCCCCTTTAAGCCCCACCCAATTTGCAGACCCCGCCCCTTGAAAGTCCCTCCACTTAAGCCCCACCCACTTTCAGACCACACCCCTTTACCCAACCACACCCACTGAGGCACCGCCCCCTTTTCCCATCAGGCCCTGCGCTGCTGGGCCCCGCCCGATCACCCCCAGTGCGTCACCGCCCTGGCCCAGCTCCGCCCCCTGGGGGGCGGGGCCAGCGAGCAGGAGGGGGCGGAGCCTGAGGTAAGGGGGCGGGGCTTAAAGGGGAAAGGCGTAGAAGTGGGCGGGGCTTAAGGGGGTGGGGTTTGAGGTGGGTGTGGTTTGAAGGGGCGGGGCTTGGGGTTTTCCCGCCA